GCAGGGTGTTCACTGCGGCAGAGCCCGTGTCCTCTGGAAAGGAGGAAGGAGGTTACCCTTAGGAGCCAGCCCAGCATCCCTCGAGAGGTTCTGGCAGCACTTGGCCAGATCCTGGCAGCGACACCAGCAGCCACCGCTCCCACAACTCACCTTTTTTGATCTTTTTCTCCTGGATCTTCTCTGTGCACATCTTGTAGGCCTCTGACTGCTGGTATTCCCGCAGCTCCTTCATGTACTGCTGCTTCTCCCGTTCCGCTTCGTCCAGGTACCGCTATGGTCACAGAGGGTCCTCAGCCTGTCCTGGCCCCAGGCTCCCCGGGGGCTGCTGACCCCTCCCCACCACTTGAGGCCCAGCAGGAGCTCACCAACCCGCCAGTATTGGGACAAGCTCCCTTTGTGGAGCTGCAGCCAGGCAGCGAGCAAAGGGGTTTGGGGTGCAGGCTCCGGAGCATGTTGCCCAGCCCCAGGGGTGGGGGTCTCTCCTCGGGGCCAGTACCTGCTTCTCCGAAAGCTGCAGCTTGCTCCACTCAGCCCCCAGCATCTTGGTGATCTCCGGGAAGGGCAGGTCAGGATGCTGCGTGCGGATCTGCTCACGCCGCTCATTCAGGAAACGCACATAGCCCGTCACAGGGGCTTTGGGGCCGTTGGGAAGGATCTTCTTCCTCTTCTTGCCCTTGGGCCAGCCCCTCTTCTTCACCGGCTGGCACCCAGCAAAGGGAAAGGGACAACCAGCAATGGACAAGAGTGCACGACGCCATTGTGCCAGCAGGACACAGAAGCAGCCTGCAGACCTGCCTGGGCCTCCCACCCCTCGAGGGAAGGTCTGGGCCTTTCCGTGGGCCATGGCTGCAGCAATGGGCTTGCCCAGCTGTGCCTGGGCTGCTGAAGGGCAAGTGGAGGGAGCATGCAGGGAGGGGTGTGGACACCAGAGCTCACCTCCTCCTCGCCATGTGGCTTCTCGCCACTCGCCCGTGCCGACTCTCCCTTCTCCTGCTTGATAGCCACCAGGAAGTTTCCATGCTGAGCTTTGCCCGTGGCATGTCTGCACCCAGAGAGTACCCATCAGAAAGGGCTGGGAAACCACCGGCGCCGATGGTGACACATCCCCCAGCAGCGCGGACTCATGCTCGCCAGATCCCCCAGCTCCCACACACCCAAAAAGCCCCCAAAACCCACTACCAGCCCTGGAGGCCCTGTTCCCCTGCAAGGGGAGGCCACGGTTGAGCAATGGGGCTCAAGCAGAACCCAGCACTGGGTGAGCAGGGCAGCCCTGGGCACACAAAAGCTGCCCCAAGTTCCAATGACGACCCTGGGACCTTTCAGTGACATTTGGGCTGGGAGCTGCCGGTGCTGCTCTTGGGGGCAGGTAACAGCGATGGCCACATCCCCGCGTGCCACCAGGTCTCGGGCGCACACCTCCGCAAGGAGTCCCAGGCAGCACAAACCAGTTGATCCTCCTCTGCGAGGGAGGAGGAGCAGCAGGGGTTTGGATCTTGGCTCCAGGGGCACCTCCTGGAAGCACCACCCACACCCTGGACAAGCGCTGCCAGGGATAAGGAGAAC